GGCTTCAAACACAAAGTAATAATAATGAGATAGAAATGTTAATTACCTTGATTTGATCAGCACACATTGTATACATGTATTAAAATATTACATTTTTATTTTCCCTAAATATGGCCAATTGTGTTAACCAAAAATTTATTTTAAAAAGTTTAAAGAGATGGAAATGCCAAGTATCCTGATTTGATATAAATGAGTACCACTAGGAACATCTGAATAAAATTTTGGATTATTTAATGAATGTCAATAATCTCTGACTTTTTTTCCTCATTTTTTTGTGATGCTGGGGATTGAACCTAGAGCCTGTGCATATGAGGCAAGCACTCTACCAACTCAGCTATATTCCCAGACCAATATTCTGATTGTAATATTGTATCATAATTTTGCAAAATATTACCAGTGGGGGAAACTGAACCAAGCATACAAGGAATCTCTGATTATTTCATACTATTGAATGTGTATTATTTCTTCTTCCCCTCCTCCCTCCTCCCTCCTCCTCCTCCTCTTCCTCCTCCTTCTTTTGTGTTAGAGATCAAACCCAGGGCCTAAAGCATGCTATAGGTAAGTGTTCTCCTTCTCACCTACATCCTCACCCTTTTTTATCCTCCTACCTCAGCCTTCCGAGTAGCTTGGATTATAGGAGTTCACTACCATACTTCCTTCTTATACATTTTCTTAACAAAAATGGGGCTATGCTATTTATTATCTTGGTAGCTTATTTTGTTGGCTTAAAAAACAGATATGCTGGGGGCTGGGGTCGTGGCTCAATGGTAGAATGCTTGCCTAGCATGTATGAGGCACTGGGTTCAATCCTTAGCACCACATAAAAAACTAAATAAACAAAATAAAGATATTGTGCCCGTCTACAACTAAAAATATTTTTTAAAAACCCAGATATGCTTCTGTAGTATTTAGGGTTATTAGATATAGTAAATAAAAATATAGGATGACCAGTTAAACTCAAATTTTGGATAAATAATGAACAATTTTTTAGTTTAACCTTGTCTCTAAAGTGTTGGCATTTTATTTGCAACCCCGATGGCAGTGTAATTATATAATTTTTTGAAATATTGGTTGCATAATATTCTACTTTAGAATATTTTGCCTTTGCTTTTTTATTATTTATCTTTCCATGCTGGGGTCTAGCACTTTCCACATGCTAGGCAAGCACTTTCTCACTCAGCCATAACCCCAGCCCCAGCCTATGCCTATTAATGAAGGTGACCTTTAGATTGGTATTCATCATTATTCTCATTAATATATAAATTAATTATATAATATATAATTATATTTGTATGGTACCTAAAATTTTAATTCTTCAAACTTCTCCCATATTCAGTTCAGCAAACATTAACTGAGAACTATGATAGAAAAACCCTGGGCTTTGGATCCCTGGATCTATTTCTCACAAGATACTGAAACTCCTTGAGCCTTAGTTTCTTCATCTGTAAATGAGAATAGGAATAACTAGTTTATACGACTAGAAATAATATTTGTATAAACCCTAATATAGTGTCTAGCAAAGAATGATAACTCACAGAATAAATCATTGTTTATTTATAGTGCTATTAAGATACTCTGGTGTGTAGTAAACAGAAATAAAAAAAATGTAATCCAGAAAAATTTTAAATTATTTATTTATTTGGTACTGGGGGTGAACCCAAGGGTCATTTGCCACTGAGTTGTATCCCCAGCCCCCTTAAGAATTTTTTTTCCTTTGGTACTGGGGATTGAACCTAGGAACACTTTACCACTAAGCTCCATACTCAGCCCTTTTTATTATTTTATTTTATTTTTTAAATATTTTTGTTTTTCAGTTCTCAGTGGACACAACATCTTTGTTTTTATGTGGTGCTGAGGATAGAACCCGGGTCGCATGCATGCCAGGTGAGCGCGCTACCGCTTGAGCCACATCCCCAGCCCAGCCCTTTTTATTTTTAATTTATTTAAAAATATTGAGGCACAGTCTTGCTAAATTACTTGGGCCTTGATAAATTGCTGAGGCCAGCCTTAAATTTTTAATCCTCCTGCCTCAGCCTTCTGAGTTGCTGGGATTACAGATGTGCACCATGGCCTGGCCCCTTTTAAAATTTTTTTAGACAGGGTCTTGCTAAATTGCCAAGACAGTCCTGAAATTTGTGCTCCTTCTGCCTCAGCCTCCTGAGATACTGGGATTACAGCATGGGCTGCTGCCACATCAGGCTCTGAAGTTTTTGTTTTTGTTTTTGTTTTAATTATTTAAAAATATTTATTTTTAAGTTTTTTTAAGGTGGACACAATATCTTTTTTTTAAAATGAATTCTTTTTTTTTTTAAGAGAGAGTGATAGAGAGGGAGAGAGAGAATTTTAATATTTATTTTTTTAGTTTTTGGCAGACACAACATCTTTGTTTGTGTATGGTGCTGAGGATTGAACCCTGGCCGCACTCATGCCAGACAAGCAAGCTACCGCTTGAGCCATATCCCCAGCCCCACAATATCTTTATTTCATTTTTATGTGTTGCTGAGAATTGAACCTAGTGCCTCACGCATGCTAGGCAAGCACGCTACCACTTGAGCCACATCCCCAGCCCTCTGAGGTATTTTTGATAGCTTATCTTTTTCTTTTCCTTTCCTTTCCTCTTTATTATTATTTTTTAAAGCCATCTTTTTTTCTACCAGGACTATGATCCCAAACTTAATTTTGTGTGTCTTTCCTGCTCACTATTGGATTATGTATAAAAATCAGGTCATTGTAGACTGAGGTTGGCTTACCTGGATAACCTCAGAAAACACAAAGCAAAGCTATAAATGAGGTATTTAGACACAGGACTGCAACCTTTGTTTCTTGTTCCACTGATGACACAGTTACTCATGGCACTGAGATTCATGGCATTCATTCTGTCAGCAGAGACACACTTTGTCTTAGCAGGCCTAGCATACTCTTAGGATGCTGGTAGAATGGTTTTCTCTGAAATGTGAATCCAAGCCAGGCATGTTGGTGCATGCCTGTAATCCCAGTGGCGCCCAATGCTGAGGCAGGAGGACCACCAGTTCAAAGCCAGCCTTGGCAATTTAACAGGGCCCTAAGCAACTCAGAGAATTCCTGTCTCTAAAATACAAAAAAAGGGCTGGGGATGTGGCTCAGTGGTTAAGTGCTCCTGTGTTCAATTCAATCCTACGTACCCCCCCCACCCCCCCAAAAAAAGAATAAAATGCAAATTCCTTCATCTCCCTTTCTTAGTCAGCAGCTCTCCTAATCATAACCTGTGCACAAAGCCATTCCTTTCTTGGACACTCTCTATGTTGCTCCTCTGCTACTTACCAGCTCTATCTTTTACGCCACACCCCTCCCTGTAGGCTTTTATTTTGCTCCACCTAACTTGCTTTTCCTTCCTTCCTCCTTCCCTCCCTCTCTCTTTCTCTCCCTCTCCCTCCCTCCCTTCCCTCTTTCTTTCTCTCTTTCCTTTCTCTCCTTCCTCCCTCCTTCCTTCTTTCTTTCTTTCTTTCTTTCTTTCTTTCT